TGAGAGCTCTGGACTGCTGCACACATGGTCAGGGGGAGGTTTCCAGTAGTGAGCAGAGCTGCTCAAAGACAGAAAGCAGGTTTTAGGAAAGGGAAGAACAGGCTGGCTCCCTGTCCAGTTCCTAATCCCTAAGTACATTTATTTTAAAGCAGGATGGGGAGGAGCTGTGCACATCACAGTGAAGTGGTTGTTATGCATGCCCTTGCCCTGGGCTCCCTGCATCCACTGCAGATGACAATTTGTGCCAAGGCTGTGTCACTATCCAGGACTTGCTCCCCATCTTCACTGCTCATAAAAAATGGACAGTTAAAAGAAAAAAGTGAATCCAAAGGAGATTTATTTGCCAGTGAATGAGGAAGGAGGGGCTGAAAATGCAGATTTTTTTTTTTTTTTCTTCTCCTCCCTTATCCAGAGGTCGCTCATGCCATTCCCATGAGTCACTGGACAAAACAAAAACAATTCTGTGACCAGTAGGAGGACAAAACACTGCTTGGAATCCTTCAGTATTGGGGTCACTCCCCCAATAGTCTGATTCTAGTTCACCAACACTTCCCTGCATTGCTGATAGCAGAACTGTGAGTTAGTGCCAAACACAGTTGAAGCAAAACCTCTACTTTCATCCTATTCCTTCATTTGTACATTGTACATTTGTTCATTGAACCCAATCTAATCCTTTAACCACTGACTCACATCCAGAATCCACAAACAGCTGATTACCTATAGCTATTCTCAAAATCTAACCCAGGCTTAGTGAAAGACTTCCCAAAAAGTCTGCATTAGATGCTCCTAGGTTTAACTGATCACAATTTGGCCAAATGAAGATGGGCTGTTTGTTTGCCAAATATGTTTTAAGTGAGTCATGTAATTTTGCATCAGAGTCTCTTGCTCAGAATTTATCACTCTCTCACCTTTCACTTTTGTATGAACCACAAATTGTAGCAGTAATGAGTCTGTCTGCCTTTCAAACCACTGATAAGGTATGATACAGTACAGCCACAGACAAAAACAAACAGACAAAAAAACCCCAATGTTTTGTCTGCCTAAAAACAAAATTTTCCACTGGTGAGTCTCCATTTATTTTAGAAACCAGGTTTTTATTCATTTACTAGGCTCCATGCTTATTCAGTCTCATTCCACTGTCTGAAACCAAAATGACTTGTGCTACTTTTCTATGTATGTGACACCAACGCTATGACATTTCTCAACCAAATTTATAATTTATAGTTCATTTAAACCCCCACATTTGTTCAATAAGAACAATTTACAATTAATTTAAATCCAAATGAGTCTATTATAATAGCGTTATTAATGAGCCAATATTAGGTATTTCATTGTTTTGTTCAGGACTAATGTTTGAGAAACCTGTACATTATCCTAATTGCAAACATCATAAATATTAACACAGTAATTGCCTTTTTTGCAGTCTTTTGAAACTTCATCTCTGCTCCATGATTTAGTCACAATCAACACTTGGCAGAGAAAACTCTGCCACTTCATTCAAGACTGTTTCATCAGAGTTGTTTGGATTGAATTTTAAAACATCTTACTTTAACAGCTTCTGCTTTAAATACACTTAAGCTATTAATAGGATAGAGGTACCTTTGTAATCTAAAATAAACATCTCACCAGCTTTCTCCCCACACAGAGAAAAGAATTTTTAATGCACTCTTCTTTTTCAAGCTTTGGTCTATATTTTTGTGACAATTCTGTTATTTCCATAAAGAAACAGATCAATATTATTCCTCAAATGTCTTTTCTCCCACCTCCTCCCTCCTTCATCTATAATTTTCTTGATGACTCCTCATAAAGAAGTTTCCTGTGTAATTTTTTTTTTTCTTTTTGATCATTCACAAACCTGGGCTTTAAGCTGAAGGTAAATGGCTGTCAGTTTCCTGCAATTTCCATGCCTTATCCTTTAACCTACATTTGAGATGAAAGATCTATAAACATTCAGGGTGCTAAGACCTCTAAAACTGATAGAGCCATTTGGGTGCAGGGGGGCACTCCTCCCTGACTGCTGCCCTGCCACACTGTACCAGAACTATTTTCTGAATGATTCTCCCAATCACTCATGATTTTCCAGGTCTCTTAACTGCCCCTCTTGCACTGTCTTTTCTCAGGCTGAGGAAATACAGTAAATCTGATTGTTTCTCAGCTCCCAGCTGTCCTTGTGTATTATTTCTGTCTTTAATGATCCTCTAAGCTCTCTGTGCAGAAAGGATTTAAGCCATTTCTTTGAGCATGGGGCAGTCAGCAATACCAGTTGCTTTAGACAAAGCTACCTACACAAGTTAAGGCATTTTGTCAGGCAATAAGAAGGGCAGAAATATCTGTCCCAGGCACCTTTCTCCATCACACCATGCCAAATACTTCTACATGAGATCCTTCACAGTATTACATTCTCCATCTTCAAAAGAGGACGGTGAAAACTATCCCTATCCTCTTCCTGCCATTAGTCATAAAGGAAAGAAGAATACATCATTTATAATACTAGACATATTAATGAGAAGTGATTAAGGCTGAACTTCAGGAAATGTGTGTCACTTTACCACTGCTGCCAAAAAATTCCTACGTGAACCTGAACAAATAATTCTAGACTTGAATTTCCTAGCTGTGTAATGAGGTTTGTTGTCACAGGATAATGATTGAGAGACACTTGCATGGTAAACTGCTGAGAGTTTCTACGAAAAATGTTAATTCCTTTTCTAAGAGCCTTTCAAAAAGAACAGAGAATTAAATTAATGGCATATTGGAAAGACGGGCTGTGAACTACTCTTGATCTATAGCCCAGGTGACAGAAGAGTTAAGTGCAGGAAGAGAGACATCCCTGATGAATTGCCTGTCTCCAGCATGATGAGTGAATGGAAAAAGCCAAACTACTGATGAAATACTGACTTTTAATAGATCAAAGTTACACACCATACAGTGATTTCAAAGTTGAACTAAGAAAAACCTTCCTCCTTGAAGAGCAACTTGGGGATTTTTTCATGCATCAGCAGTAGAGACTGGCAATGTTCTAGTGAGAATGAAATAAAATCTGCAGTCTGATGCTACTCATCATTCACTACCAGCAAAAATCCCAAACTTCTCATTGAGTTAAATGACATATTGGATGATATGTGTGGCAATGGATTTTAAAAGATGATCTGTATTTTTATCAGAAGTTGGGCACTTCTTACCATTCTGTTGTATGTGTTGAACAGAGCTCCAAGTATAATAGTAGAAAAAAACACTGGGTCTTATACACTCAGTCAAAAAGGTCAATTAAAAATACAACTTCAGATATTAAACCCCAGCTCTGTGGTTATTGCAAAGTCAGTTGCGCTTCCATAAGCAGAACTTGCCCCAGCATTTAGCAATGCTACAAAAAAAGAGGCAACTATTGAAATGTCCTTGCAGTTCTTCCAAGATATGAACTCATCTAAGGCCAGGTGGTGATCCAGGGTTGGACTCAATAATCTCAGAAGTATTTTCCAAAATAAATGAATCTGAGCTTTTGTGAAAAAGGAGTCTTGAGACCAGTTAGAAGAAAATGACAGGATTCAGGAATGGTAGAGTGGAAGTCATTAAATGATATAATGAAATTCTGCACATCAGGGCAATTAGCCTTGGCATATTCTTTCCTCATGACTGAGATTCATGCATCTTTCTCACCTTGCTTTGTGGAAAGAAGGTGATAAATGGAAAAATCAAGTTTTAGCCAGAAACCCCACCTTCTTCCAGCATGACTATCCCTTCCAAAAACATCACATTGTTCACTTTATTCAAACCCTCCAAACAGGCACTTTTTGGTGACACTGTATATTTTAGCTTCCCTGGCATCCAGAACACTTCCCCAGCATCAGCAACTCCTACCTCAGGCTAAAAGGTCCAACACAGAAAAGAATAAGGCCAGTATAATACATGTATTCAATTGCTGATGGATTGCAGAAATCCTAAAACATCTGTCCTTAGCTGTGAGGTGCAAAGGAATAGGAACTCATGCTGTCAACAGAGCTAAGTTATTATCATTCTAGATGCAGATCAGCTTCACTAAAGAGTATTTATTACTTTGCCTGCCTTAAACTAAACTTTCAGACTCTCTGCCACATGGCTAGTAGCAGGTTTAATGGTCCACAGCCTTGTAAATACTGTCACAAGTAAAACTGGTCTGCAGAGAATAGCTGAAGATCAGCTTGTGGGGCTCTCCATGGGTCAGAGGAGAATCCCTCTTTGCCAAGCCCAGAACGTGGCTGGTAGGAGGCTTCCATTTATCAGACCAGCTTGCACTTGAATTCTTTGTGCAAATGAGGAGGCCAGGACCTGAAGATGACAGATCCCACCCACCATTTTTATTGCTTTGAAGATTGTGTAGGTGCTGTATAACCATTGCCAGTGCCATCCATTGAATGTGCTGCCCTGATCCTTTTTAAAGCAAGCCAACTCTGTGGCTACATTAGCTTAATTTAATAGCATCAGAAAAACAAATCAGTGCCTCCAGAAGGATAACCTTGAGTTAATCCCACATTGAGGAGGAACTTTTCTACTTTGTTCACAGGAAGGCTCTACCACTATGGCTTCAGCAAATGAAGGCAGTTCATTTTTCCAGTGTCAAGGACAGAGAACAGTTAAACCCTCCAGAGAGAGAGTGCAGCCATCAGGAGGCAATTCCAGGAAAACCTACTAACAGCCACAGATTCCTCTTTGGGCAGCAACACCTCAGGTAAGGTAAAGATATTCTTTAGAATACAGCTATGCAACATCCCCTCACTGATTTACAGCTGTGTTACACACAACATCTGCAGTATTTACAATACCACCAGCAGCTTGCATCCTCTACAGGTTATACTGCACAGGCACTGTCAGGGTAAGGTCTGGATTTGCCTTAGTGCACCATTCTCAATGGGTTAATGGTATGGCAGGGAAGATAAAAACCCCAGGGTTTTATAAGCCTAAAAAATCATGTGTACCACAAGGGATTCAAGCACTGCAAAGAAGGGGAAGCTTTGGATATATCCTACCTTGCGAGAAGCATTTTTGTCTGTGCTCTCCACATCACCGTCCAAGAATGGCATGGCAAATGAGCTGAGATCCTGCAAGGACAGAGAAGAAAAGTTGATGTCTTTTATTAATGCCTTCTTCCTTCCATCAGAGTATCCCATGACTGAAGCCCACACATCTACTTCCAGAATTCACTGCTTCCCCCATAGCAATTGCTGGCAAGCAATAACACAGACTCTGATGGTTCTCCTCAGCTGTGAAACAATGCCAGATGTAAGTTACAAGTGAACAGGGAGCCCTCAGCAGCACTTGCACCACATCACCATCAAAAACCACCTGCACAGCCAAAGTCAAAAGTCCTGTGTTAAAACTTTCAAGGGGAGGTACCGAAATCCCACAGAAAAATTGGTAGGAAATGATAGTTTAAACACATCCACTTGCTCAGCAAACACCTGTCTTGTCTTTAGTGGGATGTATGATCTTAAAGAATATTTATGGCAATAAACACAACCTGAATGAAAGAATGTCAACATTCTGAGAAATATGTAACTGCTAAAAAAAAGACAGAGAAAACTGACATGGTGCTCAGGGAGGAAATAGCAGATTCACTAGCACAAACGAGAGAAGCACCCACTTCTGCAGGACTGAAGACAACAAAGCCATAAGAAAAGCACACATGCTCATTTTTGACTAACAAAAACAAACTGCAATTATATTCCACCTCCTGCTGTCTGTTCTGTTTATGATACTTCATGTTCCAGCCACGGGGTTTTTAGAGCTCCTTTCTACATTCATAAGGAAATTATGTTAGTATCAAGTTTAGCATCTGTTTGATCAGAAAAGTACATCATGAGAAATTCTGTGACCAGAAGCATGAGGTTGCCTAATGCTGTATGCTGAAGAATTGATTCTTGGGTCCTAAATGGTGCTCTAAATGTCAGGAATACCTCCTCAACACAGAACCTTCCAGATGTGAGGCATCACCCTTTCCATGCAATGATTCAGTGCTTCTCAACCACCACATCTGCATCCATTTAAAAGAGTTCAAAATATAAATAAATAGCAATTTCACGTAAACCTAATTTGTGATGAAACAGAGCTTAATTAAAAATTAGCACTATCCATGAAGTCTGCAGGGCTTGCTTGTCTTCAGAATTCAGAGCAGCCACAGGTCTAATCACATCGCTTTGTGTAATCATATTAAAGTCAAAATATACTCAAAAATTTTGTATAACTCAGGCATAATTCTTACAAGTGTTTGAAAATATTCTGGTTACATAACGAGCAACAAAAATAAGGAAGAAATATTGAATTACTGGAACTGAAACACATGGGAATAATTCATGCCAAGTTGAAAAGAAACAAAAAAAAAAGCAGCCAGGCTTGGCCAAGCTGGCCTCAAATCATTAGGCCCCAAACAAATGTATTCCTGACAAATTTGTCTGTTCCCAGCCCTATCTATGCAGCACATTCAATGGGAACTATCTACAAAGCTCAACTATGCAACATCTCCCTCCTGCCTGGGCATCTGTTTCACATCACCTTTGTTTGCAAATAAAGACATAAGGAAACATCTCAAAACCAAAGGAAGTGATTAAAACTAAGGTTAAAATTACTTACTCCATGTACAAATTATTTAGCCATAAATGGCATTTATAAACACCACCAATATACAGATTACCACTGTCATTATTATTCTTACTTTATATGCTACTTCAGGGCTTAATTTAAGAATCTCTGTGAAGATATTTTAGAGCCTAATGAAAGTTATACAAAAACATATCCCCTTGTGTTTAATTTATCCAAAGGATTTACCAACATTTTCCTCTACCCATCTTCAGTAGTTCAGAAGGATGGCAGAAACTGGGTTGAAGGGGACACATATCTACTAACCAGGGTTGGAAAAGCTGTGCAGAAAACCTAGAACTGCCAGGAATTAAACCAAAATGTTTTATTTGAGCAGAAACCTTCAACATCAAGAGACAGTAGCTAGATACAACTATTTTTCTAGCAGATAAATTTCATTTCTCATTTACAATTCCAAATTTAAAGCCACATATATATTAAAGTCTGAAGTCTACCAGCATAATGAAATCCAGATGATTACTCTATTCTGATTTGTAGCTCTCAGATACTGTGGAGGTATTGTGATTTCATCTGTCTTTACATCCAGAACAAATCTCTACCTGTAAGCCAAAATAACTGGACCTGGAGCTTTCTGGGCAGCATGAGACCTTTTTTTTTGTTAATACAGCACTGCTGAACATTTTAAAGTGGGTAATAATTGTACTTTTAGTGCTGAGAAAAAGTCTATAATTGTAACTGCTACCTAACAATTTTTTAGTCTTTCATAGGATTCTATATATGAAAGCATCCATTCACAGAAGGAAAAAAAATACATATATGAAATACCAGGCTACAAATGCTGCTTTCCCAATTCCAATTTGTTGGTTAAGCAAGGAAATATTAGGTGATTATTTCCCCTTCATGAATATTTCTGCAGAATACAGTTAGAAAACTATTTATTTCTTGTGTTCCTCTTCATCCAGAAACACATGTGATGATGCAGTTGATGATACAGCAACTCTTAAAAAAACTCCAAAAAAATAAACTGCTCCAGAAGTGTTGCAAAATACCACAGAACTCTTGACAGACCAATGGTGCAGCCCTTGCCCTTGTCACAGTTATGGCTGCTCTGATCTGATGCCAAGAGATACACACAGAAGGCTTGCTCTGCCTGTGACTGGGGACTGAAGCTGCTCTTAGCTGTCCTGCTCTCCAGCTCTGCTTTACTCCACTTGGAAGCAGCTCCCTGGACAACCACGTGGTTCTCAGAGACATTTAAAACTCCATCAAAGGCACACAGTGACGTCCTGGTAGGAGGAAGAGTCCTTCAGACCACGGAACCCTGGCTGCAGAAGGGCATTGTGCCCTGCATCCATCAGTCCTGCACTGTATCCTTGGACAGAAAACTTCTGCAGGGACCACAGGCTGTGATCACCCCTGTACATGAAAAAAAAAAAAGTCCTAGTGCTGCTAACCTGGAATTAAGAGTATGAAAAGCCTGTTTTGGAAGTTTCATTGGCTTTCCTGTCATGCTTGAGCTCCTTAGTCAGTCCTTCCATCACTCTGCTCCATCTGACAGCCAGACATCACTCCCACCATCCTGCTAGAAAAAATGACCTCTTGAGCACTTCAGATTTACTTTATAGCCACAAAAGCCACCTCAGATTTATTTTGTTTTCAATCCACTTTTATTTACAAGTGGTTGTCATGGCAGCTCCTGCTGTATTCACTGAAGAACACAGCCCCAGGGATAGCAAAGCTTTTCCTGGGGGACAGCAGAACCATGGCTCAGTGAGCTCCTGTCATCAGTCAGGCTCCCTCCTGGGGAGGGAAATATCCCACACCACCTACCCAACAGGTGAGTTTCCAGTGCAAGTCAGGATTATTCTGTTTTCATTTGCACTAACCTTCTCTATCACTTCTTTCCCTATTTCCTCTGGGCAAAAAACAGATATCTGGAAAGTTACAGATTCTTCGTGCAAATTTCTCCCTCAAAGGTGAGACCAATTCTAGCATGATTCTAGTCTAGGCTACCCCTACATCTAGAGGCTAATCCCTCTTAATTCCAGCCCCTTTTCCCCTGACATCCCTTGTATCAGAATATTTGGATTATGTGAAAAGAAGTAAGGATAAAATTTTTGTTCTTTTTTATCCTGGGAAAACAAAGAAGCTTTTCTCAGAACTGTTTTGGAGAATAGGAAAGAAAACCACATTTGAGGATGCAGAAAGCAAATATATTGGCTGGCATAGCATAGTCAAATAGCAGGAGCAAGATCTGGTTAGCCAAACCATTTTTCACCTTCTCCAGCCAGTTTCACTCTTTCTTTCCTTACTGGGGAGAATTCCTGCCAAAAACGCTTGCCCAGACACGCTGGTCTGGAGGTTTATGCAGCTGGGAGACCTTGGTGTAAGAAGAGGGCTTCCAGCAATTCTGTTGCAGAGGCTGCATACTTAAATAACAGACCACTAAAGCCTTGAATCCAGTAAACAACACAGAATAAACAGGATTCTTGTTGAATTATTGTTTAGTTTCATGGCTACTTTGGCAGCCAGGCTGATAAAGCTTCTCTGCAAGGGTTGAAGCCAAAGAGCCAGCAAGGGCTGGGGCATGCTGTGACTGACAACACAGACACCATTTTCCAATGTATTTTGGGTGGAAGCAGGACCTTTTTATGGCCCTGCTCAACAGTGTCCAAAATTTCAGGGCTGGGTATCAAAAGAATATTTCACAAACAGCTCCCTGCTGGCATCTTTTGCAACTGTCTATTCAAACATGAGGAATGGCTGTGAACAACATGGGGATGTGAAATTTATGCCACAGTGGTGGGTCCCCATGAACATGGTCAACTCTTTGGCCACGTTTCAGGGGTGACTGAGGTCAGAAGAGCTTCCTGGTAGCCCCATAACCAACCTCTGCTGAAAGTCTGGGTTCCTCAGCTATAAACAGCTTCAGAGTACTAGTGTGGGTAACATCACACAGTCCTGACTACGGATGGTGTCACCTTTGAGGCATTCTTTTTCTGCCTCACTAAGTTCTATATATGTGCTAGGATAGCACTGAATTTAAGGATGTGAAATGCCTGCCAGACATTACAGTTTATTTTTACAACATAACTCAAGCAGAAGGTGACACTTTACTAAGGCAGTTTTCAATATAGGAAGACAGGTCCTTTAATAAAATAAACAAAGAAAACAACATTCAGAGGAATTAATCTGAGTGCTGACAAGAGCTCTGATCTCACAAAAGATTGCTAAAAGCTGCACTCCTCAGCATCACACCTTAACAAAGTCTCCTCCTCTGCTGATACTACTGAGCTATAAGCACTTCAAGTATCCTAGCAAGGACAGAGAAGGTCAGGATTTTTATTAACATCAGCTGTGAACAGTTTCTTTCATTGCATTCTGCACACCAGCAGATTTTTTTAGATCAACCTTGAATTTTTACCTATGACAAGCCAATGTAAAACTCTGAATAGCAAATATGCTACATATGCTAATAGCCTGTGAGCAGAATCCACAGTTTGAT